AGATAGAATCTAAGTAGAAATTTTGATTTTGTGAAGTGCTACAGAGAAAAATAAATGAGTTGAGGATATGCAAAGGAGAAGCATAGCATTATTACCCTGCTTCATAGAATCCCTCATTGTTACGGTTTGAGTGTTCCCTCCAAAACTCAAGTTGAAATTTCATTGCCATTTTGACAGAAGTAAGAGGTGGGACCTTTAAGAGGTGATTAGGGGCCAGGTGTGGTGGCTCACGCCTATAATCCCAACACTTTGGGAGACCAAGGCGGGCAGATCAACTGAGGTCAGGAGTTAGAGACCAGCCTGGCCAATATGATGAAACCCCGTGTCTACTAAAAATACAAAAATTAGCCAGGTGTGGTGGTGCGTGTGTGTAATCCCAGCTACTCAGGAGGCTGAAGCAGGAGAATCCGTTGAATCTGTAGGTGGAGGATGCAGTGAGCTGTCATCTCGCCACTGCACTCCAGCCTGGGCGACAGCAAGACTGTCTCAAAAAAAAAAAAAAAAAAGGTGATTAGGTTATGAGGCTCCTCCCTTGTGAATGGATTAATGCCTAATGTCATTATTGTAGAAGTGGGTGAGTTATCAGGAGTTCGGCCCCTTTTTCTTCTCTGTATCATGTGCTTGCTTGCCCTTTCACTCTTCCACCATGGGATAACACACAGAGATCCTCGCTGGTTGCCGGCACTGTGCTTTTGGACTTCCTAGCCTCCAGAACAATGAGACAAATGGATCTCTTCTCTTTATACATTATCCAGTCTGAAGTATTCTGCTATAGCAACGGAAAACAGACTATGACACCCATGTTGTTTGAGTTATCTGTCTTTACTCTCACTGTATGTGAGCAGAGCTAAAATTAAATGGAAGCTTTCATCTAAGCTACAAAATCTTAGTGATATAAAGGATTCTGTTTATCTTTTAGTTCAGTTATTCCCAAACTCCACTGATTCATGGACCCTGCACAAGTCATCACCAAGTCCATGAGAGAGGCCTGGTGTAGCAAACGTTTAACAAGTGTTGCCTGATGATTCTTATTTTCAGGGAAGTTTGGAGTACAGTGATCTAGGGCAATGATTCTCAGAGAACTGGAGCTTGCATAGCAACATGAATATAACTTGAGGTGCTTGCTAAAAAATAGAGATTCTTGAGCTTTACTCTGAGTGTCTCAGTTTGTAAATTACCAGAGGTGATTGTTGTGTGCAGGTAGGTGTTGACTCCAGGTTCAGCTCACCTCTCCCAGTCTCCATCCAGTGATTGTCCAGCCCACTCGTGACTATTTCCAGAGAGGGGACTTCCAGGCCGCTTTCCCTGCCCGTGGAGGTCACTACTTGAATATTATTGTAAACCTCTGTCAAATATTGTCTCCATAAATTTAGGAACATGTATGCCTCTCACATCCAGTATTAAGACACAAGAATCAGACTTTTAAACTCAATTTTGTATGATATCATTCTAACAGAAGATTGTTCCCACTCATTTTGTCAGAAAAAAATGCATTTTTGACTAATCTCTTGTGACAGCTATGTTTACAGGTCCTTTCAGGGGTGAATGGAATTTGTAGATCCATCTGAAGACCACCATTTTGCTTCTCAAAGACTCCAAGTGATAAGTCGTTGCTCTATTAGGAAAAAATCTTTTTTTCCTTCCAGAGAGGAGAATTAAAAGACATCCAGAGTCAACCTGCCAGTGCAGAGCATGAGATCTAGCATTCATAAACACCTCCACAGTCTCACAGAGAAGAGGAGGGAAAGGCAGCTGTCAATAAGAACATGGACACATTTATTTGGCTCCCAAGGCACGTGTGCAATGTAGGATTTTAACTTTTCCCATGGATAGCTGGTGTTGATGAAGAGAAGAAACCTAACTCGAGTCAATAAAGTTCAGATCATAAACATCCACGAGCGTAAGGGAAAGCATGTACAATCATGATGCAATTCCCTTACACTCTGCTTCCACTGTTTGCTAATGAGCAATTTTATTTCTCTGAGCCTCACTTTCCTCATCTGTAAGATGGGACTAGTCACACCTTCCTTACTGTCCAGAGTAAATGGGAGAGTAAATGAAAACTGCCTAGCCCATGCATGGCATTCAATCTACAGTAGATATTTTTTAGTTATTAATAATGTCCTTACCAGGTCATTTTCAGATGCTCCTGAGTTAGAGTCAATCAGGAATTTCTTTAATTGCTCCAAAAGGACACAGCATTGTCAGCTTCTTGGCTAATCCATATTAATGTGATAAATTGGTTCTGGCAAGTGGGCTTCTAGCTTGTCTTCCCTTGTGTCCCAGTCCTTGGTTTGCTTCCCATCTCTCCATGTTTTTGTAGGTACTCCAGAAGTGAGGTCCTATTGGTTCCTGCCCTCCCCCTGTCATCCCTATCCTTCTAGATGCTTAATTCCAGACCACAAGGCTGGGCTCTGACTACCTGTTGTTGATGGTTCACTCTGCCCACCAGGGGACCTCAAGGGTTTCTGCATACCTTGTGTCACCCCTGAGAAGACAACAAACCAGTGAGCAACACGTTCAGAGGGTGGAACTTCTCATGGAAGGCAAAGTGTTGACTATTTTGCTTTCACAGAATATTTTTTGGGGAATCTCCTCTTTTGGTCCCCGGTCTTTTGAGATCTCTCTTAGGTCATTCTCTCTTTGTTGGGTTACTTCTCTTTATCCTCTCCCAAGCACGAGTGCAGAAAGTGGGCCCAGCATTTCCCCAAACTGGAGACATTCCCTTAAACCCAGAAAGGCTTCAAAGAACCAAGGAAAGGTACAGGAGAGAAAAGATACAGCGCATGAAACACACCAGCACCTAAAGTCAGGCTTCTTTAAAACTCCACTCCCTCGGGCTCTTCTTTGGACCCATGATCTGTGGCACCTTGCTGGAGATCTAATAGCTCTCCTGGGAACACCCCTGACTCTGACTGCCTGCCTAGATTTATAAATTTTACTTGCTATAGGGGCTCCCTACCTTAACCACACCCCTTCTGATGTCTATATACCACAGCTGGTCCTTCTAGCTTTGAAAGCTCCCAACACTAGCATTAGAGAGACAAATGTTGGTTTTGCCATATGTCCCAGCTATTATGAATAGCTTCTCACTAACATGAGAAGTTATGTGCTCACTTGCATCTGGCTCTGCTTATGATGGGGAAGAATTCAATGGGCTTAGAGGATGGAGTCTATAATTCTATTCCCCAAACCACTTTACTGGAGAATTCTAGGCTATTTAAAATCTCCACTGAATATTCTTGAAGAGAGGGAGAAAAAGAAGAAGGAAAACCCTTATCTACTCTGATTTTGCATCTTTGAGTCTGACTCACCCCTGCAATATACTAAAGTCAAGCAACAAAGGGAAACCTTTAGCTAATCCCTTGAATCATCTGTTCTAACACCAACCAGCTCCTGACCTCAGTGTTGGACCCCATTCCCTGACCCTTATCTAGTGTATGAATGTGACTTCCTTAGTCACGGTGTCTAGCCTCCTCCAAGGACTTGGGTTTGGGCTACCTGTGGGTTCTTCCCCTGCTAGACCTTTCTATTTTTTAGCTTTAAAAACATTTTTCTAATTACGATGAAATATACATAACAGAAAATGTAACATTTTAGCCATTTTAAGTGTAGAGTTTAGTGGCATTAAGTACACTCACATTGTTGTGCAACCATAACCAACATATCTCTAAAACATTTTCATCTTCCCCAAACTCTGTATAACCATTAAGCAATAACTCTCTGTTCCCTCTTCCCCCCAAGCCCCTGGAAACCACCATTCTACTTTGTGTCTTTATGAATTTGAATGCTCTAAGTACTTCATGTTAGTGGAATCATACACGATGTAGCCTTTTATGTCTGGCTGCTTTCACTTGGCATAATGTCGTCAAGGTCCAGCCATGTTATAACAGATGTCAGCATTTTGTTCCTTCTTATAGCTGAATTATATTCCATTGTATGGATATGCCACATTTTGCTTTTTCATTCATGCATCAATGAACACTTGATTTGTTTGTACCTTTTGGCTAAGGTAAATAATGCTGCTATGAACATCGGTATATAAATATCTCTTCAAGATCTTGCTTTCAATTCTTTCAGTTCTGGTATATCCCAGAGTGGAATTACTAGATCACATGGTGATTCTGTTTTAATTTTTAGAAGTTCCACCATATTGTTTTCTGTAATAGCTGCACCATTTTACATTCCCACCAACAGTGCTCAAGGGTTCCAATCTCTCCACATGCTTGCCCACATCTGTTATTTTCTGTGTGTGTGTTCCTTTTTAATAGTGGCCATCCTAGTAAGTATGAGGTGGCATTTTACCGTCATTCTGCTGCACTTCTTGACTAGCTCACCCACTGTCAGCCCTTCTTGACTACCCAGCCCCAGGAGGCAGCCTGCCATGCTAAAGCCTTGTCTGGACCTATAGCAGGAGGACGATAGTTCTTAGAACTCCTAGTAGCTCCCTGGTACTGTCATTTGTTGAGCCAAATTGTTTCTTAAATCTAAGATATATAATATTTGACACACACAGTTAAGGCACAGACCTGTGACGATGGAGTGATCAAACAAGATGACTTACTAAGTGTTAGATTTCTGTGAATGAGCACCATCTCCAATTCTCCATTGCAAACTAAAGAAGTCGTCTCTCAGGAGATTATGCAGCTGTAGGGCTCTTTATGTTACATGTAACATGTCAGTAGAAAAACCATAATGATGGACTAGAACAATAGTGAGTAAATGAAAAAGGTAGACTGGCAGAGTGGGGTTCATGTTGGCAGAGGGATGACAGGGACTGAGAATTAAAACAGAAACCACAATTTTCAAAACATAAGCCTCACTTACAAAGCAGGCCAATTTCTCCCGACCACACCATAATGGGCATCACAGACAATCTAAGTTCAAACCTTGAAACACCAGCTCTTTCTGGCCCATTTGTTCCCAGATAAGACCATAGAGAAATTGAACTGTCAGTAACTCCACACAGACTTGTGAACCCCAAAGATAAGACCACTCACCTTTCTAGAAACTCTCCAGTTTACAGAATCTGATGAAATCTTGTCAACACCATCTTGTGACTAACTCCAGCCCCCAAAGCTTTATTGGGTGCCCTTTCCTTAATCCTCGCTTTTGAGATGCCTCAAACTTCCCCACAGTGTGCAGTTTCCCATTAATCAGCCTAACTTTGTTGACTACAGGTGTGTTCCAGCTGGTCTTAGGCTACAGGACATTGAAGAACATTAAATTACATGCAATGCCTAAAGCTAGTTGTCTGCAACTTCATGACTCTGTAAATGATCAAAGCCTCTCTTTCTGGCCACCTCTCAATTTCCCCCTAGCTCTCACCTTCTCCATCCTCTTCCTCCAAGCTCCTGAAATGCCATACTGGACAGCCGGTACTCATACTTTTATTTATGCAGGCTTGTTACAAAAATGAATAATTAACATCATGAGAAAATTCTCAGGCTGGCCTGAGAATAAAGCAATCAAGACCACATTAAAATTATGTCTTTTTTTCCCAAGACTCATTAAGGAACTGTGAGAAAATCAGTACACCAACCTGTTGTGAAATCCCAGTGTAATGTTTAACTAATTTTCTGCCTTTGAGCAATATCCCCGCCATTAGCTTTCTTTTTTCCTTACTGGCAGTTTTACTTAATTTCTTTAAGGTGACATAATGGAAGAGTGAAAAGAACATGTACCCTGGGTTCTACAGCCACCCCCTACAGCTCCACTTTCTGACTCACGGCCAGGAGAGTGCTGACTCTGTTTTTCCAAGTCCAAGGGGAGGTGGGTACCTCTTCTGTCCACCTCTACTGCTTCCCCAAATCATTCTCCCTTCCTTCTGGACTTTGCTTAATTTACTGGGGAGAGTGACTGATCCTTCCTGGCAGCCTAGGGTAGAGCCTAAACCCCTTATTCATACCTTCCCGCTTCTCTCCCATCCACATTGTTGTTTTGAAAGCAGTTTTGTTCCCTTGTCCTCCCTTGCTTCTGGTGGAATTGATGGGTATACAGGAGGCAAACCAGTCCCTTCATGGCAAATTTCAACCGAGTCAGAGAGAAACTTGGCCCTGCAACGTGTAAGCTCAGGAGCTGTTGGTGGCCTTCCCAACCAAAAATGAGGCAAGACAGTCCAAAGCTAAAGGGAAGATGAAGTAGAGGCTCAGAGGCAAATAGAAAGGACACCCTTCCTGGGCTCTTTACTGTGTCCCCGGTCCAGTCCTGTGCCTTCCCTAGGTCCTGCAATCTCTGTTCTTGGAATCCATGAGCCTCTGCAGTGCCCCTCCACTGCATTTGCTCAAGTGGGCTCCCATGGCTTTCTGTAACTTACAACCAGAAGAGCCTGAGAAAGGCACCAGGCTTCTGTAGCTCAGTTTCATGACCCAGAAGAGCCTCACTCCCTATAAAAGGTGAGCATCTTCCCTGGCCCCAGTAACTGCACCAACCCCCTTGGGAAGCTGTCCCTACTCCCTAAACTAAGTTAGCCTATCTTGGCTCTGTGCTCCCTGCCTCTCCTGTCAAGCTTCTGCCATGGCCCTTAGCCCTTCAGCCTGAGGCCACTCACAAGCCTAAGAGATACCACTGGCAGGCAAGGACTGGGTCACAACCACTCCAGGCCCCTCCATCCTTATCATTGTTGCCACGTGTACTGGGGTACACACGCTGCTAGCTTGCTTGCTCAGGTTCATAAGAGGTTGCTTCTTTATTAGGAATTTTCCGTTCTTCCTGTGCCTAATGTGCAGGGCAGTTACACTTCAAACTCACAAGTTAGTAATATCTCTGTTTCTGTGGGTTGGAGTCTTCTTTTGGGGGTGTCCAGGCTGCTTGTGCATTAATGCTTGATCTTCCAGATCTCCCTACCCCTTCATTTTCAAGATGACCTCTGGGTGTGGGGAAATCGGGGAGTTCAGGGAAGTGAGGAGGAATGGACTCTAACTCTACTTATTTGATTCCTGTAGTTCTTTGGCGTCCTGGAAAGGACTACACGTGGATGGCCCCTACACCATGCTGACCTCTGGAGCTGAAATCTGTAGCTGGCGCATTTGCAGTTGATCTCTGGGCTCCATCTCAGCGGTGTAGCCCTCCCCCCTGTTTTGGCCCCAACCAGGTCCTTGCTGCCACCCCGACCTGGGTACTCAGCCCTCCCGCTATAGGTATGGGATCTCTTTCCCTCTGGAATAGCAAATCTCATCAGCCACATCCTCAATAAATTCTGCTGCTTCTACAGACTGTGTATACGTCTTGGGAGTGCTAACCCAGGCTCCCTGCCACATCTGCTGTACCACACTGTCTACTGTGCTGTAGACACCCCCCCCAGGGTCCCAAACTCCACAGTTTTTCTTTTTTTTTTGAGATGGAGTCTCGCTCTTTCGCCCAGGGCACCCCACCCTGGGTCCCAAACACCACACTTTTCACTCTGCTGCAGGCACCACTCTTAGGATCCCAAACAGGAAATCCCTCTGCTCCTGGCTACCCTCTCAATATTTCTAACACCTGGGAGCCTTGGTTTGGGGCTGAAAGGTGGCGTCATATATGTCTGACTGTGTGTTCACCTCTCTGATCCTCTTCTCTCCCTCCACTTTGCTGCCTCAAAAGGGACATGCTTCCCTCTCCCATTTTATTTGACCTGAAACCCTCTTAGGTCATTCCCTTCCCCTTACCTAGGCCAGTACATCTTCAGACCTAGGAGCCCAAGGCAAAGCCTCTATGGAAGGAGTTATATGCTGAATCCTCCAGTTTCAATCAACATGAAAGTTGCAGAACAATTAAGAGTAGGGACCGGCCAGGCACGGTGGCTCATGCCTGTAATCCCAGCACTTTGGGAGACCAAGGTGGGCAGATCACCTGAGGTCAGGAGTTAGAGACCAGCCTGACCAATATGATGAAACTCTGTCTCTACTAAAAATACAAAAATTAGCTGGGCGTGGTGGCGCGCATGTGTAATCCCAGCTACTCAGGAGGCTGAGGCAGGAGAATTGCTTTAACCCAGGAGACGGAGGTTGCAGTGAGCCGAGATCATGCCATTGCACTCCAGCCTGGGCAAAGAGCGAAACTCTTCTCAAAAAAAAAAAAAAAGGTGTAGGGACCACCAAAAGTGAAAATATATTGATCTAACAGCCCCAAATATACCTATTAAGCATATATTGAAAGCCTAGTATGTCTCTGGAGCTTTATATATTTTATAGTTAACAAATATTATATTTTATATCATATTATATAATTTTATATGTTATATTTTATGGCTGGCCAATCTAGCAGGTATCATTTAGCATCATTTTGTAGATAAGGAAACTAAGACCAGACAAAGTTAAACTGCAAGTGTGTGAAGGCAGGATTCAGATCTCAATATGTATAATTCCCAAGTTTTGCTCATTACAGCACACCATCTTCTGGGCGTCTGTTACCCTCATCCAGTCCTAAGTTGCCATACGGAACATGCTCTCCTAGTGTTAAACTGAACAATCAGATGAGAGAAGAATGAGTGAGGGAATTTCCACCAAAAAACCCAAAGACTTCTTGGTATATCCAAAGGACAGTAAGATCAATATTTTTGCGTGCTTTTTTTTTTTTTTTTTGTAAAAAGTGTTATTCTATTATGCTTTGCAGCTAACAATCAAAGCACTTTTGTGTAATATCTCATCTGGCCATTGTAAGGATCAAGTGAGGCAGAGGAAAGGGCAGATATTATAAAGCCCAATTTACAATTGGAGAAATGGAGATTCAGAATGCATCAAGATGCACACAGCAATACGACTGGTAAGTAATCTTCTAATTACCTCTCTCTTCACCTACGTATGACATGGCACTTTATCATTATTGAATTATTGATTGATGCAAAAAAACTTGTAAGATTTAGATCTATTAACACGGTGACAATCCCATTTATGTGGGGAATGCTTACCCAGAATGCCCAACAATGCTGAACACAGACGAGAAAGGAAATGTAGGTGAAATAAATAAAGCGTCTTGAGGGTCAAAATAGATGCCACAGTAAAACCCCGAGAGGTTCCCTAATAGGAGAGTCCCTTGAGCTTTCATTCAAAACCTATTTTCTCTTTTTTTAAAAGTCAATTATAATTTCTTTGGTTTTTAGCCTTTAGCAGATTAAAGATAGCAAATTGGAGCAGGGAGGCATGCATGTTATCTACAAGAAGACAGTGAGGGAGGAGACAGGAAGAATATAAAAAGCATGCACAAGAACTACGAACGTGTAACAATCTAGAGCCAGTCAGTGAAGAGAAACAACCACTTACACCTAAATGAACTCCAGCCTGTCCTCCCTTGCAGATATTGCAGAGGACAGAGCAAAAGTAGATTGGGAAATTTGATTTTGCTTCTACTTTAACCCTTTGTTCTTTTTGAATGGAATGGTTAAGAACTTTATCAGATTCCAATTACTGCTGTAACAAATTACAACAAACTTAGTATCTTCAAGAAACACAAACTTATTATCTTGTAGTTCTGGAGGTTAGAAACACAAAATGGGATCTGCAGGCTAAAATCAAGGTGTGGGCAGAGCTGTACTCCTTTTGGAGGCTCTGGGAGACAATCCGTCTCTTTGCCTTTCCAGCTTTCAGAGGCTGCCTTCATTCCCAGCACATACTCACTTCCTCTCATTGCTCCAACCCCTGTTCTCATGATCAGGTCTCCTACTCTTTCTTTGAGCTTTCTGCCTTATGATTATATAGATCCTTATGATTATATAGGGCCTATCCAGAGAGTCCAGGATAATCTCCCATTTCAATATCTGTACCATTCTAAACAGCTGCACAATCTCTTTGGTTATGTAAAGTACTATATTCACAGATTCTAGGATTAGGACATAAACATCTCTGGAGGGTGATTATACAGGCTACCACATTAACAAGTGAATTTCATAAACAAAGAATTTCGTAACTAATGTCACCACTTTACTATCTAGAATCACTGCTCCTCAGCAGGGGAAATGGAGGCAGCCCACACAGGTGAAAATCCACCTGTTCTTCTCTGAATGGCCAAGATGTGGTAGTCAGCAGATTTTGCAAAAGGCAAAAAGAGGAACACAAGCTTATACAAAAGTGTATATTCAAACATGTAAAGTAAATGTACAAGGGAACTTTGGTTTTATTCTCACAAACTGGAAAGAAGAAATGAAAGCCAGTACATGGTATCTGGCTTGAAGAGAGGAAACCAGGCCTGGGCTGGGGTTTCCCACACATCATCTCATGCCAGCAGCCCAGCGCAGGGACTGATGTTCACTCCAATGACCTTGCTCAAGAGGAAGAGCTTGTATCATGATGCTAGTACAAAAACAGGTGTCCCCAAGGTTTTCATGCAATATCTCAATCTAAGTGGCTAAAATTAAAGAGGAAAACTTCATTTCACAGAATTTTCACATATGTGGAATTCAGAGTAAAAACTCGAGAAAAGTAAGAGCTTCCAGACCAGGGGTCCTTGGGCCTGAGATCCACGAAAATAAACAAGTTAGTTTCAGGGATCTATGATTTTTTTAAATTCATGTGTAAATTTTAGTGTACTTGCATTAGCTGCTTTTTTTTTTTTTTTTCCTGGAAAGAGAAT